TTTCTTTTGACAAAAGGATGAAGTCTCTATCTGTCAGGGAAGCCGAGATATTGCAAAATAAAAAAGGTCTTCAACTTTTGAACAGCACTTTTTATATAAAAATTAACCCGGTCCTGAAAGGGTTAATGTGTCATTGACGGAATTGATAAATTCAAAAATTAATATGATTAATGACACAATGTGTAAAAGAATCTACAATGATTTTAAACATTTTGTCAATGGTTGTTCACCTCCATCTTCCACAGGTTATTCGTTTGCTAAAATGTCAACTATTAGTTAGATAATTTCTAATGCATCGATTGTACGATCTGTGGCTTGATCATCTGTTCTTTTTTGATCTAATCAGATCCATATTTCGAAACATTTACTCGGTAAAGACATCAAGTCAGAAAACTTATCGTCTACTTTCATTTTTTCAAAGGACTTGTTTTTTGTCATCAGAATACAAAAGTATAATGTTCAGCACGCAATTCTGGTTCATGTCCACACTTTTCAGCTGACACGGGTATTTTCAGTAATGACTATAATCCACGGAACGAAAATACACAAAGTTTTTGTTCTAGTACAGCATTTCTAAGAAACAATTTGATTCTAAATCCAAACAACAGCTGATGTTTTGCACTACATTTTATCATTGAATTAGGAAAAGCGCTTCGTAAGAAAAGAAAACTTTCTGGAATTACTTTCAACTTCAGAAGAACTTTTGACAGAGTCTTTCACATGCTCTGGCTAAAGTAAAAACTGTTGTGCAACTCTCCTCTTCAAATTATAAGAGCCCTGGTTGTTTTTGAATAAAACTTTTAGGGATAAGATAGAGACTTGTGGTTTTCACCATTCGAAAGACGATACTTGGAAGCGTCTTTTATAAGCAGAAATCTTTCCAAAAGGGTTTCTTAAAATAGTTTTCTAGACGTACTTTGGAAACTCCTTCTGTTTTCAGCGACTTCCAATAGGATTATATTGATTATTTGCATGGATTGATATTCATTCACAGTATCCTCTCCAAAATGGGAGCCAAGTGAGATCTTGGTTTTCCAGGGTTTGGTTATGTTATTGAGTTTCCTTGGAGTCCCACGACTGCTATCCCGAGACTAGTGATAACCTCGAAAATGAGTGGACTATAGGTAATTAATCATCCTGAGTCTCGTAGCAATATTTGTTGTTACAAAAAGATATTGCGAAAATCAAGTTTTTCAAATACAAGGATTTTCCGCCTGTTTCCACCTAATGTTAAAAAATTCACTATTTCCTCAGGAAGCACCAGAACAAGTTCAGAACTTCATGATGTACAGTATTTAGACTATTTAATATTCTATTTATAAGAAATATACCAAAAGAGAATTTCGAGAATTCATAGTTTCACAAAAGAGTTTTTGGAAAGCCCTGGACAAAAACATGGTTTTTTAATTTGTATACAAACATTAAAACTGTTTGGTGTTTACTTATCATACAATCTCAAACGGAAAAAACACATGTCATACTGATGTATGACATGTACGTTAGGAGCAGTACATCGAACATTTGGAGCTGTACCAATTTCTTCGTGGCATCATGTTTATAAATCATGCATCCTGCCAGTTGTAGTCTATTGCTATAGGCATAGTGAGTTCAAAACCGACTTAGCTCCACTTCGCTCTCTACTGAAACTACCTGCAAGGGTAATTCTGAATATCTATCCAATAGCGATGATCTTGTTAAAAAGCTGAATTTACCGAACTTAAAAGTGCGTAGGAAAGGCTTTCGACTGATTTTACTTTCACAAAGTAATGATGAAGCATAATGCCTCTCTCGCTTTACTTTGCTTCATTAACAACTAGGATAGCAGAGAGGAGAACTAATCTTTGCCGTTGGCAAATATCATCCTCAGCACAAAGGAAAATAAAATCATCATTTTTGTCGTTGACTTGTTCGGACTGGAACTTACTGTTTCGCTCGGTTATTGCATCATTTGGAATCAAGTCTTTTAAATGCAAACTCAAAAGATACTTAAAACTATAGAATACGAGGCTGTGCCTTGTACTATTCGCTTGACAATGCTATAGTTAAGTTTGTTCTTAAATATAAACAAATGTGTATTCTTTGCTATAATCGATTCTGTCTTTGTCATGTGTTTTTCTTTATTTTTTTAGTACTCTAGAGGTGTTACTTCTGTTAAGCAGTCTAGCTTTTTCCTTGTAGTAATCTTACTCGATAATTAAATAAAGTTGAATTGAACTGATGTCAGCCCTCAGACTACATTCATGTCTTACCTACTGAGCTATCTCTATGTTAATCGTTATAGAAGCCTTTTTCTAATTACATCCACTAAATAGCAAGTGGCGTTGAAATGATCTTGAAGCAATCATAATAGTATTGATAAATTGAGTGACTACACTTGAACTCTGAAAACTTGAAGTTTTTATAGTGATTATTCTTACCAATTGTGTACTGATGAACGTCAGTTCTCGAACGTGCTCCAATTGAATCAAAATTAAAGGTGTTCTATACCTAGTAGTCACTGTATTCAGTTCTACATTTTGTCCCTACAAGTGTACTCTGTTTCTCTGTTTTCTTTCTCTTTTTCATATAAGTTGGTTCTTTTCTTTCTTTTTTTGTTTTACAAAAGGGGTATCACAAAATTCCAGCTTCAACATTTTTAACTTCTGTATTATCCTTGCATTTATTCCATCTCTGCAAAAAACTCAATTCATGTCTTAATTGTCGTAGACTTTACATCGTAATTTAGATGATCACGAAATGAATTTTGAAAAAGATCAAATCTCCCTCTCGAACTAATTTGTACTCGTCACAATAATGGACAAACTCTAAGCTAGAACATTTGTCGTGTGTACGAGTTCATCTCGTAAGAAAAATGGCAACATAAAGTTTATTGTCAAGCTTAGATCAATCGATTTTTGGCATCATTATGTATGAATTGAAATTGACGATGACCGAAATCTGGTATGTTTTTCAATTATTATGATCAAAGTTATGAATGTTACTAATTTTAGTGATATCTTTTATTTTTTTAAGTTTAAGAACTTTTTTCAATCTATTTTAATTTGCTTTTAGATATTTTCAAGTTCACACAAAGATTAAAAAGTTGTTCCATCGTATACTGCTTCAATTGAATAATATTATGCAGTAGTTTGAATAATTCTTCAAGCATAACTATAACGAATTCACACGTGTCCAAATACTTTTAGTCCGTCTTTGTAGAAAATAGTGTACAATCGCTATTGAATTTAGTTACATAACATAGTCTATTCTCTTGACAAATATTTGATGCTCAACTATCATTATTTTTCTGCTCAAAGAAATTAATATTTCAATCAACATAAAAGAATAAATGAAACAAAAAACGAAATTATTTACAGTTTTCTATACGTGTGAAATGAATAATCTTTTAACCCTGATCCGTCCACCGGGGGTCCGTACGGACCCCAGACGAAAACGAGTGCTTTGAAGATATGTCTTGCTGCTCTGCCAGATAAATAATGAGTGGATACAATCAGTTCATATTGATAGTACATCCTATTGCTATTCAGTAGAATATAAAGTGAAGCGGTAAAATCTAACCGTTGTGTTCAGGCAGTATCTAAATTAAATCAGTAGAATTTAGGTATATTATAGGTGGTCAGATCAGGGTTAATCAATACCAAAGAAAAAACAGAACACACGCAAAAACGAAAAAAAATACGCTTGTCAATGTAGCTCTTGTTGGAGCTAAAATGTGTAATTCCTCTGTAAATGTTAACAAAGTGATAATCGGAATTAGGAGACATCAACCCTGTCATTTACAATGAATCGCGCGGAAAATTAATTATCAAAATAAGAACAGAAAAAGATTTGTGATTAAAAAATAGAAAAAGTCTCTTAATTTTTAAGTAATATTCTATCTTACTTTTAAACTTGGTTATTCTTCTGATACTCTACATATTTCAAATAAGACGTTCTGCATATCTAACTAAGGCGTTCTCCACCTTTTTTTAAGATGTCCTACACACGAACAGTACAATACTATACACACACGTTTTAAGACGTTCTTGCTAGAGGGCGAAGGGATGAGGAGAAAAATTTGCCATTTCCACAGGATTTCAAGTATATAACTGTATCTCCTGAGCTTTCGGATCAGTTAGAAGAGTTACACAACAGACTAATGTTTCGATGTTGTACGCCAATTACCATGCGATTGTCTAACATTTTTCCAACGTTTTAATGGTGTATTTTGCAAACGTTTTACGGTACTTGTCAGTTCACTCGTTGCTTGACGCTTGATTCTAGTTGATGATGAATGATTTTTATGTTGTTGAATTAATGCACGTTCCAGCAATAATTCCGGTGTTGTTGATAGTGGTGTTGATAAAACATTGAATAGAGATGGCATCGGTGTAACTTGGACGGTTGTTCCTGTTGTCGAATGATGAACAAACGATGGCGATGAAAATGATATATCAATTGGTATTGTTTTTGTTTGTTGTTTCTCGTTATTTGTTCGCTTTTCAAATGCTAATACTTGACGAAATACACGGCCAGCAAGTTCATCTCGTAAATGGAGTAAACTTTCACGACCATTGATGCCAAGCAAATTCTAAATAAACAGGGACAATAATCGACGAGTTAAATGAACTGAGAAAGTGAGAGAAAAATAAATAATGCTAATCATAGAGCTAACTATACTTTTCAATGACTATAAAGTAAACATCAACTAAACGGTAATCTACTCTTCAACATCTAAACGTACAAGAGAAAAAAACCAAAGCGCAGTGATCTTACTATTACTGCCTATAAGACACGCGCAATTAATATTGCTTGTCTATATAATTCTCTATAAATTATTAACTTTTATTACGTTGCATAAAAAGATTAGATGTAATTAAAGTGATTAGAAAAACTAGAAGTATTCGATCTGAATCGTTAGATATTGATGTCTTATGTATATATCTCCTCGCATAAGCAAACTAGAATATTTCACAATTTTTGCTATTTGTAGAGTTAAAAAAACAGAAGATCCATTACGTGAGATTCCACATGCTCAACAGTCTTCGATTTCAACAACCGAATCACATGTATTGTAAAACTGCTGACAGTTCTTTTAATTGGCATAGAAAAGCAATGTTGTTCTAAACGCAAGACGTAGTACGAAATTGATCTCATCAGCCATTCGAAGCAAAACAAAATTCATTGTTATTCGTCTCTTGATCAATAAAAATACTTTTTTATTATTATTCAAACGTACACGTAACATAATAACAGCAAACAAAAACACAGTAGCAACAAAACTATGCGAACAAATAAAATATTCAAGATTCTGTATTTCACACATGCAACAAAATAAAAAAGGCAGACTTTTAGTCGTTTCTCACCTCTTCGTTGTCCAAATTTGAGAGTTTATTCGTCATTATTGTTGTTGTCGATGGTAATGATAAAAAATTTGAATAATTGTTATTGTTCGGAGATGAATGCTCCTGTAATGGTTGACGGAGTGAGAAATAGATGGAATGGTGATTATGACCTGTAGGGAGCGAAGCTGATGATGAACGTTTTTTACGAGATGATGTTGTCATTGTGGCCGAACGTATTAATGAAACAGCCGAAGATAAACGGGAATAGGATGACGATGATAATATGGGTAGTTTTGGCGTGATAGGTTTCAAATCTAAACATGAGAGAAAAAAAATTTAAATAAGCAGGAATCATTTTTGTCTTAAGTAGACCTGACCTCACTTACGTCAGTCTTTTTTCTCTTTGAATTCAATCATATTTTATAGTAAAAAAACTACCTTAAAGCATTAAGCAAACAGCAAGATTTCTAATGATCATGCTAACTTGCGCAAGTTCATAAGACTTATTAGGTAACATTAACCTAAACCTCAAATCTCTCATTCACTTTTAAAGCTCTCATATAGATTTCGGGAAATATCAATAATCAAGTTCTTTCTTATTCACATACCACAAGCGGGTGTTGTACTCGATTTTTGATGGGCTGAATATAATTGAATTTGCTCTTCGCTATCTGAGTTCGACAAACTAACACGTCGATTTTCACTACATTTTAATATTTCTTCTAAATCATTGAAATTATTTTCTTTATTGTAGATATTGTTTTCTTCTAGTGGTATAAGAACTGATTTGTCCAAAACTTCATCACCATCATCGGTACATTCCATTTCAATTAAATGCTGATCAGTAGTACATAATGTTTTTGTCAATGTTTCATTATCTGTTAATGTTGCTATTGTCATCTGAAGACTCATAGTATCTGACGTATCTCTGACAACACTAGGAGTAAAATATTGACAGTGCACTAATAAAGCAAAGCGTCAGGAAAATGTAAATTTTTATCTTACTCGATTGAATGAATATGTTCGTTTGTTGTTGGATCTTTGACCATCTCATCTTCTTGATTGTCCTTTGTCATTATTTGTTCGCTCAAAGCCTCTTGTTCATCGATAAACGCAACATTCAACGATCCACTATCTTGTTCACTTTGAAAACCACCCAGATTGCCGACAATTGGTTCAGAATACGCTCGTAACGACTGTAAATCATCAGCGACCACTACCACAGCCAAATTCAGTTCATCATTTGTTTCATCAAATTCATCAATTTCTTCCTGAGTATAATTTAAATCAGTTGGTGCTGATTGAGTTACTGTCTAGACAAACTCACGTTATAAACAATCACCATTATTCACAAGCAAGAAAAGACTTACTTGTTCTTGAGCGAAATAACTGTGATTTTGATGATGATAGTATTGTGAATGATTACTATTTGTATGATTGTTATTGACGTTTGTTGATACCGATCGTCGCGAACGGCTAGGAAATGTAATCACATCGTCAGAATGTCGACGACGTGATAAATCACCAGCATTACTTGAATGATGAAAATGATGAATAGGTGTGTTGGTGTTTATATTGTTATTCTTGCCATTCACTGAAGAGCCCAAACGATTTTCAACAATGAATGGTTGATGATGTTTACATGAGATTGGTGAAGGCGATAACGGAGATTGTGTGGACGTAGAGGATGACATTATCATCTCACCATGAATAGCTTTTAACGGCATTTTACGTTCGCCTCGCTTTAGAAAAAGGAAAATAGAAACACATCATTACAGACTGAAGATGGTACGTATCTTTAGTGTAAACGGTAGTGAAAATTAAATGTTACTGTACTCTCTAAAACTAACACTAAGGGACAACAAACATTCTCAGACTAAACTTGAACTCTGTGACTTTATCAGTCAGCAGAAAGTGACTTTTTATCAAGTAAATTATGCGTAAAGTTTATGTTCTAACTTGAAAAGTTCACTCTATTTCGAGCAGAAGAATACGAAGAATTGTGCAATAAGAAACGAAATATCATACGTACTCTGCTTGCTTTAGACCACTTTTCCAAAATATTCAGCCTAAAAAAAACAATTTTAATGCAATAAAACAGAGGTAAATATGAATTTACTTTTTTGAATCGAGTGATTTATTGATTGATGATGTTGGCAATACTGGCGTCGGTAATAGTGGAATTGCTGTTGTTGTTGATGAACTTGTTCCATCGGCGGTTGAATGTTTCTGATTATTACTACTATTACTAAATCGTGATGGCACTTCGTCTGTAAAATGAAGATATGGAATGTGAGAATTTTCGATTTTAAAAGGAAATCCTAAAAAAATAGAGTAATATTAGTCGTTTTGTTAGTATTTTTCAGCGGATGCATGTAATACCCACCTTGTTCTTCACTGGTTGAGCTACCAGGAATTTTCTTTTTTCGCCGAAAGGCTGATATAGGACTTGTAAATCGATTTGTATTTGCAGAAGCACATACACCATCTGGCACTGATAACTTTTCGCTTTTTGGTTTACTGGAACAAGAAATACACGAGTTTAAGTGTACTGCTCTGGAAGACAGTGGCAAAAATAAAAAGCGTAAAAAGCTTAGAGATCGAATCAAGTTAAATGCAATAAATAAATAATTGCCTAGCAGTCTATCTATTTTTGCCACACGTTCTCTGAAATTGGTTCCTAAATTGAACCAGGTTATTTCAACGTTAGACCAGCAAATTAAGCACACATCAAAAGCTTCTGCGTGCAGAAATAATTTTCACTCATTTCCTGTATATGGAGAGAAAGAGAGCTAGTCACTATGTGAAGACACAAGCAAACAGAACAAAACATATTTACCGTTTGGTATTTGTTCCCGAGTATGGATCATCACTTGACTTTCTTTTCGATGTAGTTGACGATGATAAACAATGGCCACCGTTACTATTACTATGATATTGATGATGTGATGATGACAATTTTCCACTTTGATCCAAAAATATTGTTGTTTGATCACGACTATCATTGTTTGAACTCGAATGACGACGCCAACGACTAGAGATTTGAGCAAAAAACTCTAAAAAAAAAACATATCCATCAGAGAGATACATAGTGAAATATTTGTTTTCACAAGCAAGTAAATATGCATGTTCGAATGGCATTATGTTTCTGATGAAGAAAGAATAAGATGAAAGATACAGCTATTATCTACGTAGAACTACTCTAACCACTCTAATTCTATTTAATATTCACTTGACAACTTTTAAACAGAATAATCAAAAACGCAAAATTTACCTTTAACTGTCCCACTTCGCCGTTTTTTGCCACAATCACCTTTTCCATTCAACGATTGTTTTCCTCCCGTGTTAATTAAACAACTATCATCACCTACATCTGCATTCTCTGTTGTTGATTGTTGTTGTAGGCTAAGTAACATTTGTGCTCGATCATAAATCGATTTTTTAATGAAACATAATTTATCAGCGTGTATAATTAATATTTCGCAAATATGTGTTACACTATTAACATAAGATTCGGTCATTGCCTGTTTTGATTCACAACGCATTAATCCTTGTCCTAAACAAATAGCCAAATTTCTTGCATCCATTTTATTTGATTGTTGTTGTTTTGCTATATCAGATAAAAATCGTAAAATATAAATTAATGAATATAAATGTTCATCCGGTAAAAGTAGTAAAATATTTAAATAAATTGAAATTTTTTCATTTTCATCGGTTAATGGAGCTTTTTGCTGTAAACATTCAAATAATAGTTGTTGAATATAATAAGTAATGAGCGGTTGTGGAAGTCTCTGTAAAAATTTTTTTAATAGTAAACAAACGTCGTTGACAGGCACCGTTGATAATGTACTAAATGATCCATCATTAACAATATTCTAAAAGGATAAAGCAAAACATAAGTAAAAAGTTGTACATCTTCGTTGCACAACAACAATAAAAGCCAGAGTGCATAAAAAAAATATATTCACAAGAATGCGACCTCGAGATTATCCGTAGGGTATCCTAAGAGAAAAGTCATTGCTAGATTAATGAAAATGGGATACTTCGCTCAAAAATCAATTCAAATTGCATAAAAAGTCAGAAGTCAGTCATTTTCACTCGTTTGATACAATAAACGCAAATTTTTCCATTTTTTGCGTCTTCTTTGTTGTATCGCTATGGGACTTCTAGTTGACAACAGCAAGTTGTCACAGTTTACAAAAAATTTACTTATCCTAGCATTAAAGGTGCTTATTCTATTATGTTCTAAAATTTTCTTATGATTTGTGTTGATTTTATAGGTAAATTGTTCTTCCAAACTACGATGGTCACTTGATCGTAGTATCTAGACAAGAAAAGATAACTATACGTACCACCAGAGTATCAACTCGTTCTTTTACTCCACATTTTCGAAATAAACCTTCATTTTTAATATGATATCGAATACTATCGATACAGGCGCATAAAAAACTAAAAAATTAAGAAAAAAAATATTGAGAAAGTAAAACTTGTTGTTGTTCTTGCTTACACTGGCACATTTAATTCAAAGTTATCCATTTTCACAATCTTCATATCGAGTTTTTGAAGTGGAATGTCAAATACATGGGCTTTACGACTCTACAAAAAGATGCTTAACGAGTTTAGCAGAAGAACACGAACAATCTCTACTTATTACAGGCAATTGACACTCTTCCAAGGGAAACAATAAAGTGTTTCATGCGAGTACTGTCTTACTTTTTGTTCATTTGACGATTGTGACAATTGTGTACGTTGTTTAGTTGCATCGACGTGCAGTTCGTGAATTTTTAAATCATTTGCAATAAATACACGAACGCTTTCTTTATCAGTTAAGGATAAAAAGTTGTACATAACTTTCAGAGAAGGAAAACAAATATAATACACTAACGAATTATAAATAAATTAGAAAAGAAAAAGCAATTAATTCAATAAAATATGGACAATGTAACAATAAAAACTCCATTCATAGTGCATGTCTAAAACAAACCAAAGACGTATAAATCAGATAAAGCATAATTATTTCTCAAATAAGATCATGTTGTAATTAGCCAGCAGCAGAATTAAAACACATTTTAAGCTTAAAATACGAAGTCTGATAAATTCCACTAAAGAAGATGCAATCGAAACATATAGACAAGTGTTATTAATTTAAATAAAAGTTCATTACGAAGACAAAGTAATTTCAACTAGAATTAAAAGAAAAATGAAACGGGTACTAGAACCATTGAAGTTCTATACTATATTCTGAAACTATCTCTATATCTTGTCATTCTATGCGGAACCAGTTTTCTCTAAAATTCCAGTGAACAATGATACAGTAGCGATACATTATAACGGTACAACCTCATCAGATACAATAGTGCAATAAACTAACAGTTCAGCTTCCTATTGAAACTCAGTAGTCTGAAAGATTGTCTTTCTCTCTTCATCTCTTCTTATTCACAATAGAAAAGTCACGTGTTTTGGAAGTTAACATACTTGTAAGAGACATTGCATGTAAGAATGCGGCCAACCAGCCATCTTCGGAAGATTTCATTTATGTTAAGTATCAAGGATCAAATTATCAAAAAAAAATTTTCTACCAAAGCTCGTCATATCCTTTAGTCATNCTTCCTATTGAAACTCAGTAGTCTGAAAGATTGTCTTTCTCTCTTCATCTCTTCTTATTCACAATAGAAAAGTCACGTGTTTTGGAAGTTAACATACTTGTAAGAGACATTGCATGTAAGAATGCGGCCAACCAGCCATCTTCGGAAGATTTCATTTATGTTAAGTATCAAGGATCAAATTATCAAAAAAAAATTTTCTACCAAAGCTCGTCATATCCTTTAGTCATATGCAAATTCTTGAAGAATCACAATTATTATATTTATTGTGAATGACAACGTATTTTTGGGATAGAATAAAGAGTGCAAGTCGACTCACTTCTTCGTCATAGAAGAAAAAAGGAAATTGATTTTACAAGGTATCATCGTAATGGAGAACATTCTTTTTTACTTATACCAGTTTCTTAAAGTATATAATTTTAGAGTGTATTAGGCTACAATCTGACATAATTCTATCTTTATCAAACAGATAGTTAGCGTAAAAAATTAGGTTGACCTATAACATATCGTTTGGCTATCTTCAGTGACGAGTTAATATCGAAGTAGTTGGAAACTCACTGACAATGCAAAACAACCCAATATAATAATTTTGATCACTTAAGTTTATTTATACAAATGTTTCAGAGAAAACAGAACGGCAAACATGTCGAAATATGTCTAAAAACGTGTTCCTTCAAATATCTTGTCTAGTTCACAATTCTACATTACTGAGAGCAATTTTTCATATAAAAATGTATAACTCTTCATATTGTACTAGAAGTGCACTTCAGAAATGTTTTTTAGAACCAAATACTGCCAATGCTCCATATCAACAGCATAGGTTTTTGACGTAAAGCACGTAGGGTAGTCTGTGAGAATGAACTGAAAAAGTTCTCTCGTTCCACGATCTACAGCATTGTGTAATGGCATTATCAGATCAAATATTTATGATAAACAATTCTATTTTAGAGCATCTCTTTATCACATTGATTTATTTATATTTCATAGTGTCTAGCTAGCAGGATAGTGTATAGAGAGAAAAACATTGGCTTTACTTTAGCCTGAAAATTTATGTGACCGGCAGCCTTTTGATATAAATCAACAAAAAAATGGGTATAAAAAGTTTCTCCATTTTAAAGGCATAAATCTGAAATTCCACCAGAAAGTATGACGACACTGTAATCGTTCAAAATCAGTCTTTTGTTTCAGAGATAACAGGTTTTTTTTCATATTATCATAACTACTCATATCGCAATCATCCACTACAACATCCTTTCAACATATTAACATTACGGCCCCTTTACTGCTGAAAAACTGTTTTCATATTTTGAACATACTTGTATATCAAAAATGCAGCACATGGATAAAGGAAATTTCCTTATTTTAGCTGATCCACGATATACCTGTCTATGTAAAGTATACATCCAGTTAAAAGTTACAAATCCTGGTGCGCAATGCATTAAGGATAGTTACTTGACTATGCATTAGCAAACATGTTTCGTTTAAATATAACTTATTTGACATTTTAACAGTAAAACTAATCTAACAGTAAGTTCTCTTTATACACTTGCATTGGCAACCCCGTATGAAAGTAATAGTCCTCAAATGTCTTGAGATAATGTGGATTTAAATGTGTAAGCAGCAGAGGTCGCGCTCTTCGCTTTGTATTCAATAATGGACAGAAGAAAGCTTGGATGAATACACCAGAGTTGCCAGATGTTTCGCATTTTGCGGACAAATTCCGCTTTCTGTAGTTTTTTCCGCAAAGTATCCACTGTTCGCAATTTGTCTGCTTTTCGAAGATTTGTTGTTTTTGTTCTTTTTTCTGCAATAGAGCTTTTACATTTTCTCATAAAAAGTTTGACGTCTTGCTCTGCCCTGTCTTGCCGCCCTGCTCTGTCTTGCCCTTCCTTGTTAGGAAATTACTCATCAAAGTTTTTTGGCCCTGCGCGGTCTGTTTGGGCAGGACGCCCTGCAGCGTAAAAGAAAGTTTTTCTCCTTAACCTAGAAGACTTTATATTCAAGAAACGCATCACAAATACTGGATGTGTTTCTCGTGCGTAACAGAATCATTTTTTTTATTAATTATCAATTTTAGAAAAGTTGACTGTCATTTTTATTTTCACATATACGAGAGATCTCAAAATTTTACTTAGAAAGAAGCTTGAAAATCTCCAAAACCAATCCCTTGCAGGGCAAATCAAGGAATTTTTTATTGCCCTGCCCTGCAACAGAACAAGGCAACAAAAAATATATCACCCAGCCCGGAAGAACAGGGCAGGGCGGCAGGACAACAGGATAGCCCTGTCCGGGCCTCTGTTTCAGAAAAGGACTATATGAAGAATATGGCATATTGAATTTTTCTCCCAACTGGATTTTGTATAGCAAACATTTCTCTATAAAATGAGCTATGAGGAATCTTTCTATCTTTTTTCTTTGCCTTGCAATTGACTTTCTACGAAGGGCCTCATTTACCAGTTAATCAAAACCGATAAATGAAACTCTTATTAAACTTCTTTTTATAAGCGCTGGATCGAGATGAAGGTTGCTTCCATAGCTTATGTTATAGAAAAATGTTTGTTCTACAAACTCCAGTTGTGAGAAAAATTTATTATGTCCTACTCTTCGTACAATTTAGCTTTTGCGAAAAGAGGATACAAAAACTAGTTTTTAATCGGCGCATGTCTAAACTCGTCTGTTGTCTCCTTCCAGTGATGAAAGCCATTCGCTTAGTAGCATTTTTTGCATGTTCATGACTGGTCTCATTGCGAACAAGTACACTGTAATTTGGAATTATTTTCTACTTTATAGAAAATCGATAAGGAATTTCTAAAAAGTTGGAAAATTGACAGCGATTTTCTAATTTTTAGAAAATCGATTGATTTTCTATAAATGATTCCCAACGATGTAGTAAATCGATATCGATTTTCCGCATTGTTGGAAATTCGATTTTCTATAATCTGGAAAATCCGTGAGGATTTCATATATGGACTTTTTGAAAATCGCCGAGCATTTTCTATCAATAATGCCCGACTTTATGGTGTATAGTTGGTCCTTGCTGGTGAGAATTCAGTCATCGCTTTGATTGAGTTTCTGCTTCTTAGCTGCAAATTGTTCATGGTCGTCATTTTTATCTGACTTTTTTTCCTTATCAGTATTTTTATGTATCGATTGATCGGCCATTTTTCGGATCGAGCGGATTTAGGACGGGTTTTAGTTTGGAAAATTGAGATCAGGTTCGAGATCCCAAAAACGTTCGTGCGGGTTAGGATTCGGGACCGGGTTTAAGTCTACGGTACGAGATCGGGTTCGGGATCACAAATGTCACACCCTCAGAACTCTACTCTAGAGTACAGATGTTATAATAGAAAATTTTTTGCATTAGGTTGTTTTGGTGGAAGTTAAAACTACTATGTTTCTAAGATTAAAAACTCATATTACTTCTACTTTCAAATACTGTTCTCACATCTGATTAAAGAATTACATACAGCACTTTACATCAGTTTTTTACTTCCTGTTTTGTACTGTTTAACACTCGTTTTCAGAATATGCCTTAGAGAAATTCTGAAATTGTTTCTTTTTTCATCCTTCGTTCTTCATCCACAAAATATTACTGAAGTTTTTACAAAAGGAAAAAAATGTCTTGGTTAGTGGTGAACGCAGTATTTGCAATATTATTCATTTTAATCAGTATTCTACTGTCTCTTTTAACAATTCTTCTTATTTGTATTTATTGTCGTTCAATATCTGATTTACTTGTTTGTAATTCGTGTTTAGCTGTTATCTATTTTTCTTCAACATTAATGATTCTTTACAATCAGATATTTAAAATTGACTTTTTCATGGTACAAAATTTGAATGATTATTTGTGTAAAATACGCTGTTATTTATTTCATGTAGGTGTTAGTGCACTATTACAGTCGTACTGTTTACAATCAATTCATCGTCTTCTATGTGTTATTTTTTCAGTGATACATTATAAATATTCTGTCTATTATTTTTTCATTTTCATTCGATAGTGTCTATCATTTATTGTACAATTACCATTTTTATTCTTAAACACAATTGAATATTTACCTAATGATCATTATTGCGAAGTCCTATTACAACGAACATTGAATCTTTTTTATCTATTAACAGTTAGCTATTTTATGCCAATGTTAATCTTGGTTTTAACATATCTAATCATTATGTAAAACGAACAAAATGATCACAACTAAAAACAAAAATAAATAAAGAGTTAAAAGTGTTTCGTCGAATATTTATAGTAGTTGGAACATTGCTGATATTAGATACTCCAGCGTCAATATTTTGGCTAATGGCAATTCCTTATGACCAACCATTTTATTTATCCTACAAATTAATATTAATTTGTACTACATTTTCATTAGTATTGATAAGTGTTGAAACGTTAGTTCTAACTACAAATGTAAGAAAGTTATTTATGAAATCATGTTTCCGTTGTCATACAAGCATACAAGACAAGTAACTATTACCATTAATACACGTATTCATCCTATTACGATCCGTTGCTGATATGGCGGACTAAAACCTCAAATATAGAAAATACAAACATTAATGCTTCTGTTGTGATTGAGGACTTAGAAACGTATTGATATCACAGTCCATGTTTTAAATCAAAAGCGCTATATTTATCACAGCATAGGATCAGAAAAGCATAATAGCATCGTCTTCTGAATGGGTCTCTGATGATGTTTTTGCACACAATTTTGAACGTGGATAGTAATTTGTTAGCACATTTTTTTCGTAAATGTCTCCGCAGTATTTCTAAATTTACAATAAATGATTCATACTTTTACACTGTATCTCGCTTTCATTCGATTTTCGTCATGATATAGAATCATCACTTCTTAGGAGGAATGCTGTTCGAAATTAAGGTTATTTGTGTGTCATCTGAACAGAACTTAATGTTCCATATTTTGAATTGTTCAGCAAAATATAAATCTATGTTTCGTAATTTATTGACTCAATGATTTTTGTATGGCAAAAATCCGGCCAGATAAATGATGACTGATCAGGTACTTTCATACATTTATCCAGACAAATGTTAGACGACGGACCATTTTAGGTACTTGATTTGTGTAACGTCTTGTTGACCTTATGTTCACAGTCAATTCGATTGATTTGGTCAGTCATATTTATTGTTTCACTACCTGAGACCTTCAATATTGACTAATTTTCTGGTGTTTGGTACTCAGAAAACACTATCATCAGGTCACCAGTCATGAAAAATACGTTTAGACTTTATTGGAATTGCTGGAGATAAAAAAAGCGAACGGATTAAAACGTAGCAGCTGTTAGTAGTCTTGAAAATTGATTTATATTCTTATATTAGTACGCCATCTCTAGTCATGCCGATGCACAAAATTGTTTATTTAAAAAGCTATAAATTTACAAGTTTTCAGCTTTTTTTCATACTGTGACGCTAAGTTAAAGTTCTTTAGATACAACAGGTCGATGTAGAAAAGTGTTGTCTTCAAAATAAAACGTCTCTCAACTCACAAAACTGTTCTGTTGAAGAGTTATAACCAATCTGACGAAAGCCCTATGAACTGTAACATGTTTTTTACAACGCATACGGAACAGTACTTCCCTTTTCATCGAGAAAACAATTTTTCGCACCCATTTTTGGATCTGACGAACTCAAATGAGCCGTACTCGGTTTTCTTCACTTTACTTGTGGTAAAAATTGCAGCCGATTGATTAGCGTTTTGCACTCAAAACGAGGGTGAAAAGTTAGCCTATTTTTCATCGTAGCGACCTCCATAACTACGAAATTAAGCATCGTGGAAGGATGCGTATATGAGAACCTGTTAATATGTCATTGAGATGTATTCATGCCGAAAAATCAGAGCTCGACGATAAAGGCGGTACTTCAAATACGGAAAGCCGTGCCGGAAAGGGGTGTGCCCTTAATGTCGATTTTCACTCGTCATAAGATCAAAAGTTTTTAAATAGAAATGATGAGCTTTGGCGATAACTTTAAGGAAATCCTCTAATATTATTTGTCTTTTTGTTTTTTAAATTATTAGATTGGCCAAAAAGTTCTGCAACACTAGTATTTAAATACTTTTTCGCAAGTGTTGCAGAACTTTTTGGCCAACCTAATAATATAAACATCAGTTTTGATTCTAATTTATTATCTGATTAATGTATTGTGATTGTTGTGTTATTGCTAATAAATGAAGTTTTCGTATCATTCCCATTGTTTCCATTATTTTTGGTGATGTTCATGTTGATATATAATTATCTGCATCGTCATCATCATCTTTTTCATTGACACCACAAGCTACAAGATGTTCACAGTTATCAAACCATTCATTAAATGCAGGTGTACCATTATCAATATCAACAAAACCAGCTGCAATCATTGTTTGACCGCCAGTTGTGACATGTTATAATAAATCATCTAATATTTCTAATTCTTTATCTTGTTCGTCATCTATTGTTGTTGTGCTATTTGTTTTGATATTGTTAGATCATCTGATGTTGCCTTTGTCGTATCATCATGTTGTTTACCTTCAAAACCAGCTGCACGAAATGTATTTCGTATTATTGTATCTATGACAGCTTTCGATGCTGCATCAATCCAATGAACAGCATCTAAAGGTATACTTTTATACCTATTTTTCTATTAGATTCTACCTATATATATCATCTGGTGTTTGAGCGACGGAGGGACCAGTCCCCCTCTTGACTATTGAAAAAATGATTTTTGTCCACTGAATCCTGCCAGAGAAAGTTATTAGTTGATAAGACTTCAGTCGGTCGCTCCCTTCGCAAAAATCCTGGCTACGGGCCTGAATAAGTGCATAATACCTTGATCTAATGGTTGAAGTTTTGATGTGGTGCACGTGTGTTCACATTATTTCATTGTACGGGCGTCGACGTAGGCAACTGCTCCGTGATGGAAGCTCCGCTCGAGCTAATATTCTGAGTGTGGTCTTATGTCGTCCTTTCCTCTATATGGCAAAAGTTTGAGGTCGTTTGCTCTTTCCTGATGGAAGATACAAAGTATGTTTATTTTTCTTGCGTAGTTAATAAGATAGAGCAAAAACCGAGAAAGCATGAATTAAAAACGTTCTCTTCATCTGCTTTCCGGTATCAATGAGTGTGGTAGTTGACGAAGAAGTGATCAAAACAGATGATCTTTTCGCATTAGCTGCGTCGAATGAACGCAGAAGGGTCACATCCTGCCATATCACAGTATCGCTGTTTGAACTTGAAACAAACATCGACCGCCGTTTGAAATTGTCTAGGATGTGCATCGACATAGCCACTCTTGAAACCAGGCGTATCGAATCGCAGGAAACAAAATGGGAGCAGATAGTTACTCTGGATGAGAGAGTGTAAACGGATAGTTATTTCTTTCTGCCAAATGTATGTCAGTATCGTCGAGAATGACATGATCATAGACTCGATGCATAATGACTTAGTACTGTCTATTGAAAAAGACATCGAGAGGTTGTATTTACGGCGTTGTCTTCGGTGAGATTTCCACTTTCTTATTTATTATTATATGATTATTTGTCACTTTTCTTTTCATCTTATGTTACTATTATTTGTTTATTAAAATAATTACCAGGTTTCTACAGACCAGGCCAGGCTAGGCCGAGAGTAATGGCAGGCAGACAAGGCCCAGGAAATATATCGGCAAGCCCAGGCAGATCTAAACATTACAGACCTGACGCAGGCAGGTCAGGCCTCAAAAGTATCGGTCTGTTTCGAGCTCTGATACCCACCAACACGAATTCAAAATCTGTCACTGCGGTAGACTTGATTGTCTAGGATGTGCTATATCATTCGGGTTTTTCGAAATCATATCTTTTTTTTTTCTTGTGGCTAGATAAGTAGTAGCAATAACAATAAATACGTGTTTAAAACAGAAAATAGTTGATATCTGATATAAACACACAAACGTATGCAAATAATCTGTTTGTAAAAATATGTAGAAAAAAAATCACAGTAAATTCGTAATAAAAAAATAAACGATTCACGCACACATAAAAATATCCGACAATTGTCGTATCATGTAAGTTATCTGACAAGAATATGAAACTCATTCATACAGTTTTGAAAATACACTACTGTTCTTGATTATTGTACTTGTTGCTGGCGCTGGCAGTGTGAATGTTGGAGATTTTAACGGTTTAAAACGTTTATTCGATGGTATTGGAGAATCCATAACATTCCATAGCTAAAAGGAGAAAAAAAATACAATATATGAAGTGAGAGAAATAGGATAAGCGCTTTCTTGATCCTAGCTAGCGTACGTAATTGAGTGCTTCACTCTATCACTTTCAAAATTACGTATTACCAAATGCTTAGAAATAATCGCAACAATTGTTACATTAAAACTCGAATGAACATCCATATTCTTTGGTACTGATGAAAATAAATATCGTGTTCGAGTTATATATCTGATTCTTCGTCGACAGTGATCTTTAGAATATGAATATGACAGAGCGTCATTAATAACAAATGAATAACTGCGCAGTAACTTCAATATTCAAAGAAAATCACATATTGGAACACTTTTATAGTTTGTTGCACACCTAAGTTCATATGTTCGAGTTTCTATTTGAACAAAATTGTTATTTATAGTTCAAATTCTAAAATAATTAGCACTTCTATTTTGAAAAAATAAAGTTTAGATCAAGAAAATCGTACTTCACTATATAAAGACATCGAGATTTTGATATCACGGCCTATAGGTTTAGTGTATAATAATAATCATCAGAATTGATACATTTGAGTAGCAATCAAATGTTCTTACCGTATCATTCGCTTGAGATTTATTTGACTCTAGATTTTTCTTATCTGTTATGGGTGATTCATTATCACCACCATTATCAATTTGACTATGATTCTTGCTACATGTTGATGTTAAAAATACTAGTCGTCTTGGATCATGAATTTTGCCATTTTTTGCCGTTGTGGAGCCGATCGTTGTTGCTGAACATTTTGATGTCAGATGATCGTAACGTGAACTCAGTTGTGTTAACGATGAGACTGGAATTATTTGAGTTGTTCTTGATGTAAACGTGGCAGAGTAAACCTAATAAAAAGTTGCTTTAAACATTTTCAGTCTGAAAAGTGACCTAATCTTACCTCTTCTTGTTTCATTTGTTTTTCTTCAGTTGTGTCAGTATCAGATATTGTATCTAAAAAACGTGACCTGATTAATTTTTAGCTTTTTATCGTCTATGAATATCCTTACGCTGCATTTTCTTCTGTCGTATTTCACAGCCAAGTTTAAATATTTGACTATCATTGCCAATAGTTTGAATATCTTCATTTAAATGTTCAATCTAGAAAAATCAACAAATAGAAGTAGATGTATCCGTTTCATAGTGACAAGATTTAAAAGCGTTCGGATCGATCGATCTCACTTGAATTTCTTGAGCAAGACAATTTTGTTTATTCTTCAAGCCAGTGTCACTCGTTGTATCAATATCATGGCAGTCTGTTATTAATTCATCGTCTCCATCTACATTTGTATCTTCATCATAGTCTTCGTCATAGGATGCTTAAATTGAGAAAAAAATACAAGATGTTTCCATTCGAAAAGCATTTACTTCACTTACGTCTTCTCATAAATCTTTCGTCGATATCATCTTCGTCATTGTCTAAATAATGATCTTTTAATATTTTTAATTTTTGTTTATCTTCTTTATCCATTATTTTCCTACATACAAAATAAACATAATTTCAACAATATTATATAAATGAAACTATTCTATTTACATGTGTACTTTCGTTAAATCATTTAAACTTTTCTCATTTAAATCATTTTGATCAGTATCAATAAATTTCAATAATTCTTCATCCGGTGCATCATTGCTCTCTTCTTCTATTTCAGCGTCATGTTTATCAGCACTTTCACTACCTAATAATTATTTAATTAAAAAATCGAAAAAAAAATGAGAAACACTATGTCAACCAATAATTATTCAAAGATTAATTAATTTTTTACCTGATTCTTCTGCTTCGATTTCAAATAAACTTTGTCTAAATTCTATTAATTCTTCATTATCTTCAATATTTGCTTCTTGGCGTTCTTCTTCTTCTTCTTCGTCGTCATCGTCTGCAACCATCGATTGTTTATCGTCATCCGATGACTCAGATACTCGTCGAGTTTTTCGTTTAAATGCAGGCTTTTGAATATCATTCTCGACGTCATTGTGCAATGCCGCAATAGCTAGAGATGTCAGTGGTGGAATATATTCCGATAAATGTTCAATGCTATTGGATTTTATAGGATTGGGTAACAGCGGAAGAGTGAAAAAGTCATTTAATCGATTTTGAGAACATGGAATACTAAACGATAAAGCAATATCTTACTTAAATGAAGATAGAATGAATAAAAATTGTAATATTAGAAAAGATGCTATAGAAGCACAATCTCAGACATAAGACAAAATGTAAGTGTTCAGTTATAATTCTGTCTCACTATTTAGCAAGAGTTGTTTTTAAATGCTATTTAGGAGAAACAGAATCTTGATATGCTCAGATATACGTACTCTTCTTCCATAAACTGCCCCGAACAAAGTAGAGCAACATCATCCAATGCCGACGATGGAGCTTGTGATCTTTCACACCAGAAATGATCAGTATTTGATGCTTCCCTAGACAAACAAACGTTATATTTTAAAAATATAAAAGAAAAGCAAATAGTATCACACAAACCTTTGTGATAGTAATTCCGAGTCACTCTGCAATGATAAATTTGCCTTTAAAACGAAAGAGAACTTATGATTATTAGCCTGTTTAGTAGATGGATTCTCTCTCACTTACTCTATATAACTCATCTTGTTGTTGAGAAATTTGTAAAACGGGTAAATTTGGATGAATAATATCATCATCATCATCATCATAATAAGAGAATTTTTGTTCAACTAAAATAGTACAGATATTCATATCTAGTTTCAGCTTCCTTCGGAATACTTACGAATCGGATTAATAAGTTCATCATCTAGAATTTCACTTGACGCATTAACCTATATGGAACAAAAGACAAGTATGAGACATAAAGTAAGAATTTAGGCCCAAAAATCAAATAACTATAGATATTTTACCCCTATTTTCCCTTCTTCATTATTTTCTGATTTATCATTTTCGTGGTAGGTAATTGCATGATCTTCATTTGACTTTGTATCTTCCTCATTCTCTCTCATTTCACTGTTGCCATCCGACGTTTGGCTACTGTTCTCCAAAATAAAATCCTCACTATCATTATCCTCGTCTTCATTATCTTGATCTTTGATCATACGAATCGGTGTCGTTTTTTTGATTGGCGGTGATGATTTACTTTTCTGCTCCGAGCTCATGCTAGTCACTATTTGCTTTTTCAAGTATTTATTACGACATTTTTCTGTTATTTGAACACGAAGTAATTCTTGAAGATGACAAAGATTTTTTGATTTTGTTATTGGTTTATCTAGCAGTCAACAAACGAAAAAGACAAAATAAATTATTATTTTGTAATTGTTTACTTACCAGGTGATATTGATTTGTAATTCGACATTTGAGGACTGAAAAGAAATCAAGAAGAATCAAGAATAGTGTTAAGAAAAGACATAAATAGCTTACATTGGTGCTTCTTTTTTTACTATACAATCATTAAAATCAATAATTTGTTTTCGGTTGATATTTCTTGCTAATGTTGGTTTTTTTTTCATCAATGAGTTCGATATATGACAAACTAGTTTTTCACTGACTTGATTTGTTGAATTAGGTGAGATTTCCTCTTTCATTTTATCATTACTATTCATATCTGTTAATATTTTCAATTGCATTTCAGGTATTATCAAGTTAGAAGTTGATGATACATCGTTATTTTTAGGATCTCTAAAAATTACTGCCATTGTTTAGTATGAATTATAAAGAAAAATATTTTCAGTTTACTCTGATGTTTGTGATTTCAATGATCTTCGTTTGTCCATAAAAGCTGTAATTGATGTAAGTTGTTCGGGTTTATGATAAGGAAGGCGAAGTGTAGATTCTACTAGACAAAAAATAACAATCATCTCTTTCAACATCGAATGAACACTACATACCACGCAAAAGTTTTTGAGTATTTTTTTGAACTTGTAAAACACCTAATTTCGTCGGTTTTCTCAGCTAAAACATATCCAAAATGAAAATTAATACATATTTTCAAAATGATATATATTTCGTTTCTTACCTTTTTGGTTCTTGCTGATTTTTTAATTTTTACCACGTTATCCTCTCCATCGGTGTTCCATTTTGAATCTAAAGTGAGCGTGCACAAATTCAAAACTCTCTGAAAGTTCTAACAACAATCAGATCATCGATTATATATACTGATATATTTACCTGTTTCGATATTTTTTTGTCTACGAATATCATCAGTAGTCGCATCATATAAATCTGACATTAATTTTAATTTATAATCATTTTCATTCTCAACTTGTTTTACTACATTGGAAAATGGCTCTTCATTTATTAGTTTTTCATCAAATGAGGAGGGACTCAGTGGCGTAAAATTAATTCGTGATTTTGAAACATAGAATGATTCAGCTAATTCTATACTGTCATTATCACTAAATGAACGATTACGAGTAACATCAGTTTGTCTCTTCTCCTTTATAACATTTTCATCAACATTATCTTGTTCACTTAAAATATTTCCATTGTCTTGATTTTTCTTCTCATTCCCGTTATCCTCTTCTTCATCATCAGTGGAGACAATTTTCTTAACCGACTTTCGTGGCTGTGATATTGAGGTACTATCAACAGTGGAAGTCAAAATTTCGACAGAAATATCAGACATCTACAAGTGGTAAAAGATAACAGTCATTTTTTTACCAAAGTCTTCAACAGAATGTACCTATAAATTTTTGAAGTATCGATGCACTCTGTCATTAAAAAATACTAAATCTAAAATGAAAAGAAAGCGACTAGTACTCAGAAAGGCAGGTTAAATCCTAAAGTAAGACAACATCAAATTTCTCGTATCAGAGTACGGATACCGTTGATTTCATCTTTTTCTAAGCACGCAGTGTCTAGAAAACTAAAATCTCAGAAAAACATGTCTCCGAATTCTGCGAGAAATCTTTTACAAATAGCTCCATCGTATAGAGAAAATATTTCTGAACAAAATGAGACATCCCCGAGCTCTGTATGACATTTTTCCATGCGGCAACATTCAATTTACGAAAGGCCTTGAGGACATATGTTTCGTGTTTTTCCGTTAATTTGGTAGTATGGGACCTTTTCTAAATTGAATGTTATCTCATGGAAAAAGGTCATACAGAGTTCGGAGGTTTCTCATTTTGTTCAGAAATGTTTGTTCTGTACGATGGAGCTATTTGGAAAAGATTTCTCGGCAGAATTCGGCGACGTGTTTTTCTGAGATTTTAGTTTCCTAGACATTCTGATTCCAGAAATTTCGATGGAATCTTTATGTATATCACATCAGATTGAAAATTCTTTCAGCTGTTCAAATCTTTTTTCAACTTTTTTCTAGGTATCATGGTTGAATTGAAAATTTAAAAATAAAGGTGGAGAAATAATTTTTCGAACCATTATAAAAGAGTGTTGCTCGAGGTGGACGTGTAATCAATCTCGAACAAAATTAGGCGTATCAACTGACATAACAACATGGTCTTGTGATGATTGTATATATATGATGAATAATCAGCAAAATAAATACTTTTTTTCCTCCCTTTTATGTTTGTGTAACTCAACGCTTAGCAAATGTATAAAGCAAGACAATGTAAATAACAGTAATTTTCTTTGCCATATATACAATCGTGACTCTACCACAATTGTTTACTCTAGTACTTTTCATATTATTTTTCTGCTCAACAGATGTGCAGATGTTAGCTTCTTTCATAGAAAAGAAGAAATCGCTCAATCTTTATGCTCTATTTTTTTATCTCAAAGAGGAGTTGATTCTATTTACGGGGGTGAAAGTACAAAAACTGTCGCTGTAAGATAGTGATGGACATCCTAAAATTCTGCTTTCACTTTTCCCACTTTGTGTTCCCGAATAAAGTGTGAAGCTCCACTCTGACAAAAAAATCTCATTAGAAACGTTGCGTTGGACAATACTGTTGTTGATCCAAGAAATAATGTTGCAATTAATAGCCAATTATAATTAATCTCCGTTTTAAAAGACAAAACTATACTGCTGACGGTCGTATCATGAAAAATTTTAGTCAAAGTCCACACTTAAGTGTATAAAATTAGCACGTAAGTGCACATAACGAAGACTTAAGTTTTTTTGGGATACGCCTCCATGAGCTCAACGTTTGTTTTCTTTTGGCTTCTGATACTACCAAAAAATTAACATAACAGCGCTCAATGAGAAAAAATCAGTCAAGTAAATTAGATGAAAAAGTTAAGCCCAAAGCTATAAAACCTATATAAAGAATATGAGAAAAACTACTAGTTTTAGAGTTTCGCGCTTAGCTTTTGCGTCTAACTCATCTCTACGATTATCTCCTTTTAGCTCCAAATAGTAGCTCCAAGGAGCCAGAATCAATGTGAATTGACATAGACGCTCTCTCCTAGAAGCTACAGACACTCTCTATACTATGATTTGAAGCTAAAAGGAAACAACGAATGTCTACTCCCAAAAACCCGAAATGACTCATCGATGCCTTATTATTTGTCCTTCTTTTAAACCAATCTAAATTACAATCCTAATTCTTCAGGACCATCATTCAATTGATCAGATTCATTTTTTTTGGTAGCATTACTTTACTTTTCCTATTTTTTCTTTACGAGAATAATTAATTGACCACCAAAATTCAAAGTCAAGTGCATTAGTACATTGTACGCAATATGATGCATCTGACAAACGCATTTACTTTCGATTGATTTTAAACATGATCTAAATTGGTAAATTCGGTAATTGATTTACGTAAACACTTCTCAAATGACTGATAAACATGATGAATTACTCATCACCAAGTGAAAAAAGTTCTTTGTCTCACATTTATGACTCTCGATGATTTTTTTTTTTATTTATATGATGTTGTTGATGATGCTTTAAGGGTGGAGAGCAAAACAATAAATAAGTCTATAATCAACAATGTTTGCGTCGATGTCAGTTCTTCTTCCTTGTTCACACAAAAATGGAAACTCCCTTTATTACCCCTTATTTAAAATAGCTTTATTTCAGCATCTTTTCAGTGGAATATAGCCATATTTACAGTTAAAAATAAATCCAGTACTATTACTCTTATTTTGTCTTTTTACTTTCATTTTTTCTTTACTATCTCTCCGTTTCGTACACTAGTTTACTTCTTATTTTTATTTTTCTATCTATAGATTCTTTTTGGTGTTGTTTGGTTCCAGTCATTGTGTTAAAGGTCGGGGACCTTTGATGACTCTCATTTTTCGTGAATAAATCATTCACTATTCACTATTCCCTATGCTTTCGATCTGGCTCTGTGTAAACGCAATCGGGTTGGTAAAGTTGGTTAAAACTCAGTTTAACTTTGTGTTGAGCTAGTCCTCGAACCGTTCATATACCATTTATACTGCATTTTTTATACACAGAAAAAAAGAACATGGCTTGAGAATACGTAATTATTCAATACTGGCCAATTTTTCGAATGATATAATTTCAAAACTCGGTTTACTACTAATCGATACTGTGATAAAACGAGGATTCATTATCAGCGTCATTGCACTAACTACCATTTATGTGACGTGTGATTTGCGCTGTGTGATAGATGTACTCATCCAGCTATTTTTAGCATTGCGCTGGTGTTCTTATTTATTCGCTAACGTTTGTCTTATTCGTTGGATTCTAGATTTTTATCTTTTTTTTTCTAA